CCGCCCGACCACCTCGCCGGCAACGCCGCGGGTGGATAAGAGCCTCCCCCTCCGGCTCCTCGAGACCTCCCACACCTACCTCCACCCACTCCTAGATTCCCCTCGCCCTCTCTGCCTCTGCCTCTCCCCACAAGATCCCCTCTCGAGTTCTCTCCATCTGCTCCGAGCGCCATCGCCGCCGCGTCTTCGTCATCTCCGCGGCCACCGTGCCTTTGACGCGGCCTGGCCGTGCTCCTCGGCATCGCCGTGGACTGCCGCGTCTTCTGAAGCCGCTGGAAGGAGCCGAGGAGCTCTGCATCGCCGACCACGTTATCGTCTTCCTCGGGTTGCCGGCGATCCCCTTCTTCCCCGACGAACACCGTAGACTCCTGCTGCTCCTAAACTACCACGGGCCTTTCTTGCGCCGCGCGGTGAGCCCCTATTCCCCTTCCCTCGCTCCCCTGGACTCGTGCGCCCCCGTAGCCACCGCGTCCGCCATGGCCGAGCTCAGCTCCGCCGCATAGCACACCGTCGTCGCTGTGGGCGTCGTCATGCTCATCCGAGCACACGAGCGTGCTCAGGGCGTCTCCCTGGTGCCGCCCGAGCCTCTGGCTTGTCTCCCTGCGCCCTCTAGCTCTGTTTCCGTCGCTGCCCGATCTCCGGCGTCCGCCTCGCTGCTCGCCGCCGTCATTTTAGTCCATCTCCGGTCGTGCTAGTGCCACCGCTGGATGCGCCGTCTCGTGCACGTTCGAACGCGGCCATCCGCGTCCAAAATGATGGCCTATGGCCATTTTCCGGTGGATCCCGAGCTGCGCCGCCACAGGAAATGGCCGCCGGTGTTGCTCCGGCCGCCACGCTGACCTGGCAGCGGTGGGTCCCGCCCAGTGCCGCTGACAGTGGGCCCCTTCGCCTGTGTTTGACCGCGTTGACCACGGTCAACGCGGGATGCTATTCCCCCAACCACTGACTAATGGGGCCCACACCCATAATAAGGCTAATTAAACGTTTTTATAAGTAAAGTTAACTTGTTAGACTAATTATTCACTGACATGTGGGTGCCAACTGCTAACTAACCCTTGTTCAATTAAAATAACCCATTGTTAGCCCCCTGTCAATGACAGGTGGGTCCCACGGGTGAGTTTGACCTGGTCATCCAGACTGTCGACTGCTGCAGCACGTCATGCTGACATCATTTTATCTTTTCTATTATTTTAAATAATTCCAGAAAATGCTTTAATCTTTGAATAATCATAGAAAATAAAGCGTAACTCCGATGAAAATGTTTTCTATATGAAAGTTGCTCAGAAAAATTCAACGAATCCGAATACGCGGTCTGTTCATCTGTCACATGCCCCTAGCATGCTGAACATGGAACTTTCCCCCTCCGGTCATCTGTCTGACATAGGTCCAGAACCGGGAAAACATTCCCGGTTGAATTCCCCCTTCACCTTTATCGTGTAGCCATACGTTAGGTCACTCCCGGCACAACATATTGCCACGTTATGCTTTGTGATGCTATGTTTGCTTTTTATTTACTGTTTCTTCCCCCTCTTCTCTCCGGTAGACCCCGAGACCGGTGCCGCCCCTGTGATCGACTACGTCGACGATAACCCCTCCTTGCCAGAGCAACCAGGCAAGCCCCCCTTTGATCATCCCGATATCGCCATTCCATTCTCTCATGCTTGCATTAGATTTTACTATTGTTATTGTTTGCTCCTATTCTGATGCATAGCCTGCTTTTGTAACCTGGTTATTGTTACTGTACCGGCTTATCCTAAACTGCTTAGTATAGGTTGGTTAGTGATCCATCAGTGACCCCCACCTTGTCCTTGTTTCCCCTGCTTCATCATTGAAGACCCGATCAACGGGATCGAAGACCAGGACCCGACACCTCACGTCACATCACGCCCCTTCGTTGCTCGACTCTGCAGTGTTACTATTGAGTGCCGAGGGTGAGACCTCTACAGCACTTCTGATGTTAACCTGTACTGTAGCTATTCGGTCGTGGTCATCGAGGGTGATTTCCTCCTTAACCACCTCTGATACGGCTCTGTCGTGCAACCCCTCAAGTGTGAACCTCGAGGGTGATTCCTCTACGTTCACCTTGATGATTACATTGAGTGGAACCCACCGAGGGTGATTCCTTGGGTTTTCCTCTTGATGTTTGGACACACAGATACTTGGACTTTTTAACTGTTACTTGGAAAGTGATGTGGAGACGGGTTGACCTGGAGGGTGCCCGCGAGATAATTACGAGGCGTGGCCGGGCATTCCTAGCCCTTGCCGCAAGCCCTCGAGACGGGGCAACGGGGTCGCATCTTTTGTGAGTCTCTGCTTGTTACCGCGCGTTCCTAATGCACTACGATTTGGATATTTGATCCGAGGGGCCTCTGGCCTGATAGCACTAACCATCACGTGGGCATAGTATGAGCGTTCTGCGTCGTATACATCAGCCAAAGCTTAATAGACGTCACCGACTGAGTGGCGCGCGCCGGGTTGGACTGCGCAAGCGCCTGCCTTGTTGAAGGAGGTAGCTAGGTCTGCTCACCGGCCGCGTACGCAACGTGCAGGAGTTTCCGGGGAGATGGCCCCTGACCCTTGGGGGCATAGGTTTAGTCCGGCATGCTGACCTCTCTGTTAAGTCTAGGTCGGGTTGCGGCGTATTGTTTGGCCGAGGCCGGGCATGACCCTGGAAAGTGTGTCCGGCCGGAGTTAAGCGAGCGTGGTGGGTAAGTTGGTGCACCCCTGCAGGGAAGAACTAATCTATGCATAGCCTGTCCTACGGTAACGGACACTTGGAGTTGTATCCCGATCGATACAACTAGAACTGGATACTTGTGATGAGAACTGGACGGTGATGAGTAATGGATTGTGATGGTAACTGGATAGTATGGCTCTAGGATTTCTTTCTCGCAGGGAGTCAAGAAAGGATCTCTGGCCGAGGTTGATAACGCTACTACTACTTTACTTTATGCTACTCTACTCCCTCCTGTTTGCTGCAAGAGGGTGGTTTCCAGAAGATGCTAGTCTTCGATAGGACTAGGCCTCTTCTCTATTCTGGCATTTCTGCAGCCCAGTCCACATGTACAGCCTTCCTTTGATAATGTTGCATCTGTAGTGTAGATCCTTGCTTGCGAGTACTTTGGATGAGTACTCACGGTTGCTTTGCTCCCTCTTTTTTTCCCCTTTTCCATTCTTCTCGGATGACGCAACCAGATGACGGAGTCCAGGAGCCAGATGACACCTTTGACGACTGCTGCTACCCCGAGGGTGCCTACTACCACGTGACGGACGCCGACGACCAAGAGTAGTTAGGAGGCTCCCAGGCAGGAGGCCTTGCCTTTTCGATCGTAGATGCTTTTGTGCTAGCCTTCTTAAGGCAAACTTGTTTAACTCATGTCTGTACTCAGATATTGTTGCTTCCGCTGACTCGTTTGTATTCAAGCTGATGTATTCGAGCCCTCGAGGCCCCTGGCTTGTAATATAAAGCTTGTATTATTTTAATTTGTGTCTAGAGTTGTGTTGTGATATCTTCCCGTGAGTCCTTGATCTTGATCGTACACATTTGCGTGTATGATTAGTGTACGATTGAATCGAGGGCGTGACAATGACGATCTCGGGAACAATGCGAGTGGCAGCTCTATGAGGTGGGGCTCTATCTCCACATTGGTTGGGTGGCATCCTTGTCCCGCTTGGGCGGTAGGGGTGTCGGCTCGGTCGATGCACCCTATAGGGGGCGGTCTGACGTTATGTCGGGGCGGCGGCCCCGGATGTGGTGAGACGTTCGTTGTCTGCGAGCGGTCGCCTTGAGCAGTGTGGGCTGCGGGCAGCTGGGTTGTGCGGCATTGCTGCTCGAGGGGAGCGGTGGTATGTCGGGGCGGCGGCCCCGGAAGGCGGTGCCGGTTGATTGCGCTGGGCGTGACAGAGCGGTGGATGTCGGGGTGGCGGCCCCGGAAAAATCACTATGGCGACCAGACTTCTGTGGCAACGATGATGGTGGGAGCGATGTCGGCGACGCGGCAATGGATGCGGTAGTCGGCTCTTCTCCGGCGTGTCCACGGTATTGCCTCGGTTTGTTTGTTGCTGTGGAGTCGAAGCTACGGCGGCGGGGCCCTGTGGTGTACGATGACTGGCTGCAGGTGGCCCGTTCGGTGATCTTTCGTGGCGCCAGCCGTGCCTGGTTTTGTTCTTCTGAGTTCTCCGTTAGAGTCGGAGCTGCGTTGTCTGGCTGTAGGTTGACATGTTGTCCAATAGGGTGGGCTTTGCCCAATGTGTTTCAATCTAGGGGTGTGGGCTTGGCCCTTGTTGTTCGGTTTTCGCCCAGTTTTCCGTAATTAACTGGGCAATTCTCTTCTGCTTAATTAATAGATGAGGCAATCTTTGCCTCCGTTTCAAAATTATTAATTTTTACCTGACAGTGTGATCAAGCCCAAATGTATGCAGCGTGGAGCCCCTTCCCTTCCCCATTTCAAAAAATTGTCTCCATTGGTAGTGCAATGGCATGCATGCGAACTTGCAATAACTCGGTCTCCCCACAAGAAGAGAATCAGTGTGAAGTGTGAACAGTAGAACCCACAGGCATTTGAAATAGGGGTAGTTGTATTTGAAACGGAAATAAGTACGCAGGAAACAAAACAAAAGTCAAGAGGAGGCATGCTGAGATGAGATCCACATAAAGAAAGGGGGCTCGGAACCGCGAGCCACGAGAAAGAGCTCCCCTCCCCTCCCGCAGCGGCGCCAAGTCATCATCCCTTTGCATGCTTGGCCTGGCCCCGTTCCTTGTCCACTTTCGACTTTGCAAGATTTCCAAGCTTTCCCTGACAAAACTGTGGCTGCTTGACATGCCGGAGCCGGACTGCAGCCCGCAGCGCGCGCACACGCCCTTTTGCCGGCTTTTAGGCCTCCCAAAAGCCCTCCCTATTTAGGGACGCGCCCCATGCCATCCCTCCTCACTCTCACTAGTGTCTTTCAGTAACTCTCTTTTCTCTCTCTCTCTCTCTCTCTCTCTCTATACCCCACCCATGGAAACGGCCGAACTGCAGGAGAGGCAGCATGCCTGGCGGTGGCCTCTGGACGCCATGGCCTGCAGCAGCGGCAGGTGTTGCCTTCAGCTCGAGTGGGATCCGCAGCTGATCAGGTACTTCGGCGGCCTAGGCGTGCTGGGCGTCGGCGGCGGCGGTAATCCTGACGATCATGGTGCCATCGAGCACGAGCTCGGGCTCTTCTTCCCCAAGTGTACGTGCGCCATATCTATCTGGCTTGCCATTTCGTTTTTCTTTGGCATGCAGTTGAACTGTTGGAGCTATTCTTCAATTCCATGGTGATGTATGGTAATTGATTTTCATTGTTGCAGGCATGGAGTTGCCGGGTTCTTCAGAGCCGCCGCTGGACGATGTGATGGAGTGGTCCGGGGAGCAGTTGGAAGAACTGATCCGAGTGCGTGCAAGTCAGCAATGGCGTGCAGCGCAGCTATTTTAGAGTGTTACTACCACTACCACCCTTTTCTTACTGGCCTCCTGCTTGCCTCTTCAGAATTTCCCCATCCTAGACGAGGATCTGGTAGGCTTCGATCCCAGCTGCTTTCTCGAGGATACAAGCACCGCTGCTGATGCTTCTTTCCTGTGCAAGAATTCGAATGCAGGTTAATTACTACTTACATTTAATTTGCTTATCTTAGTTCACACTCTTCAGACAGCGGTTTGTTAGTCCTGGGTGTTTCATTTAATCCATGGTACGTACTGGTACTTTTCCAAGTATCTAGGACAGACTTTAATGATTATAGTATGGAGTAACTACGGTGGTTAGGAGATTCATGTTGGGGCCCACCCAAGATTAGCAGCACACTGGTGTCCTAAGCCCATCATCTGTCCATCATGAATCATTTGACTTGTTACTGGACTAGGGAGACACTGCTTCTTGAGTAGAGTAAAAAGAAAAACTTTGGACTTGCATTCTCAGACGGTAGCACCCACCCAGATTCCGTTACCTGCTGCATATCCCTGTGTGCTCATCGCCTCTTGAAACTGAAATGTCATCAAACTGTGCCCTTTTTTTGTTCGTTAATTAAGCACCAAACTGATAGGCTCTGCTTCTGCAGGGGTTGACGGTCTTCTGGCCCCGAGCTCTGCCACACCGGTGGAGCCGCCCACATTGCCGGTGGCGCAGCCGGAGCAGCCTCCCCTCAGCTCGACCACGTCCAATCGCCACGGCGACCAACAGCGCCAGATCACTAGCGCCAACTGTTCTTCCAAACGCTCGACGCCACAAGAAAGTAAATAAAACCCAATTTACTCACCTGCCCATTCAGTAAAAACAGGGTGCTAACCAGTAGGTGTATGTATGATGCATTGCGCAGCAGAGCAGGATGGAGGGAGCGGCAAGAGGCGCAGGAAGTCAGGGCTTACGGTGGTGCGCCCGTTCTCGGTGGTGAAGCCCGGCCCCCGCGGGGTGGACGGCGTCGAGACGCTGGCCGACATCAACGAGCGGATCCTGACGCCGTCGGCGAGGCCCGTCCGGCACCCCGTGGGGGAGTTCGCGTGCGCCCCGCGCGCGTCGGCGGGCGGCGACCGGCCGGCCCCGTCCGGCAAGGCAGTCACCGGTTTCACCAGGTTGCACACCGCCCGGAAGGGCACGATCACCGTCATAAGGTCATCTGGATAAACATCCGACTGTGTGTGCGATGAGCACCATAAGTTCGTCTTGCTGGATCATGTAGATGCTGCCTTGCTCATGTCTAGATTAAATAATAATAATGACCAATGATCAATCGTACTGCGAAATAAAATGCATGGCGCGAGGCTGTATGAACTGAGAGACCGGTGTGCGCATGCGATTCTCGATGGGAATTGTCAAAGGACGAGGAATTTGAAATAGTATGAGTCTTTTAAAGCAAAATAAAGATCGTTGCAGGGGTAGCTTTTGCTCTGGAGCTTGATGAATTGATCGGGGGCACCTTTGGATCGTACGTGCCAGCCAAAGTGTGCGAGGTTATAATTGTACCCCTAGGTATATGTTTCCTGTTACTGCTGCAAAAAAGATCACGGCGTCTCGGCCTACGGCAGTAGGTGGGCCCCCACCAGATTTGAGCCCCATGGAAAATTGCGCATTTCTGTCAGTGTGCTACTGTGTCCGGCAAGTTTTTTTTAACGAAATAGGCTTTCGTCCCGCTATATATATACTCCCTCCGTCTTAAAATTCTTGTCTTAGATTTGTCTAGACATGGATATATCTAATACTAAAATTGACCTGATACATCCGTATTTAGACAAATTTAAGACAAAAATTTTTGGACGGAGGGAGTATATAGCAACCAGCACAAGCACGCCCAAAAGAAACAAAAAAGAAGAAGAGAGAAAATAATGTCAACAGCGTCGGATCGACGAAAAAGATGATGACCCGCAACCACTGCGCCCACCAGAGATTTACCACCTCGCTCCTAGCACCTCAAACCTCCGCAGACCAAGCAACACCTTCAAGAAAGAACACGATGACTACGATGCTGCTGCCCGGACAGGTCCTAGGGTTTCCCCGGTACGCGGAGGGGCGTGGGGAAGAGGAATACCCGACGCCCTTCAGGAAGGAAGGGTGGCGCCCACGGGCGTGACCGCGTTGGTGCCAGCAAGCCGGCAAAGATTTCTCCCATCCGCCAAACACCCACTTCCCCGAATGGTGTGACGATCCACCAATCATGCCGACCACCAACATGCGCCACCATGGTCATGCCATCATCACCATCGCCTCACCGTGGTCAACGAAGCGAGACCAACGCGGCCGAAAGGGGGCAGCCGGGAACGAGGAGCGGCAGCATCAGCAGCCACACGGGAGGAGACAACCTCCACCGCCATTGGCGGTCACCGATCGGACGCGGCAAGAGGAGCACACAAGGCCGTCGAGAGCCGGCTGATCCCGAAAGGGGCTCACGAAGCGCCCGTTGACGCGCTGCAGTAGGCATGCCACCGTTCCCACAACTCCCCGCACAAGTCGCGCCTCCTCAACCCCTGCCGGAGATGCCGCAGGCGAGATCAAGCCAGGCCCGCCCAGACCCAGATGGGGCCCAAAAGGGGGCGGATCTAGGCCGGGAGGGCGCTGCCACCATCCACCGAGCCAGCTCGCCGCCAAGTGGTCGCGCCGCCGCCCCCTGGCCACCTGGAGCCGCGCCGCCTGGAAGAGCCGCCGCCATCGGAACCTCTGCAGACCGAGGAGCACTGCCGCGGGCCGCCACTAAAGGAAATATGCCCTAGAGGCAATAATAAAGTTGTTATTTTATATTTCCTTATTCATGATAAAGGTTTATTATTCATGCTAGAATTGTATTAATCGGAAACCTTAATACATGTGTGAATACATAAACAAACAACATGTCCCTAGTGAGCCTCTATCAGACTAGCTCGTTGATCAAAGATGGTTGAGGTTTCCTAACCATGGACATGAGTTGTGATTTGATAACGGGATCATATCATTAGGAGAATGATGTGATGGACAAGACCCATTCGTTACCTTAGCATAATGATTGTTTAGTTTTATTGCTATTGCTTCTTCATGCCAAATACATATTCCTTCGACTATGAGATTATGCAACTCTCGAATACCGGAGGAATGCCTTGTGTGCTATCAAAAGCACAACGTAACTCGATGGTTATAAAGATGCTCTACAGGTATCTCCGAAGGTGTTTGTTGAGTTGGCATAGATCAAGAATAGGATTTGTCACTCCGAGTATCGAAGAGGTATCTTTGGGCCCTCTAGGTAATACACATCATAAGCTTGCAAGCAAACGACTAAGGAGTTAGTCATGAGGTGATGTATTACGGAATGAGTAAAGATACTTGCTGGTAACGAGATTGAACTAGGTATGAAGATACCGACGATCGAATCTTGGGCAAGTAACATACCGATGGAGAAAGGGAATAACGTATGTTGTCATAATGGTTCGACCGATAAAGATCTTCATAGAATATGTGGGAGCTAATATGAGCATCCAGGTTCCGCTATTGGTTATTAACCGGAGAGGTGTCTTCGTCATGTCTACATAGTTCTCAAACCCATAGGGTCCGCACGCTTAACGTTCGATGACGATATAGTAATATATTAGTTATGTGTTTTGTTGATCGAATGTTGTTCGGAGTCCCGAATGAGATCACGGACATGACGAGGAGTCTCGAAATGGTCGAGAGGTAAATACTGATATATAGGACGATGGTATTTGGATACCAGAAGTGTTCTGGAGGGTACCGGGTACATATCGGGTCATCGGAAGGGGTTCTGGGCACCCCGACAAAGATATGGGCTTAATGGGTCAAAGGAATAGACACCAGCCCACAAGGGGCTGGTGCGCCCCTCCACCAGGCTGGCCAGCCCTAGGGAAAGGAAAGGGGGGAGGGCAAGCCCCTCCTTCCTTCCCCTCCTCAAGTGATAAAGGAAAGGGGGGGGGGCGCCACCTCCCCCTTCCTTCCCCTGGCGCCTATACAAGGAAGGGGGGGGCCGAACCAGGGCAGGAGCCCGAGTGGAATTCAGCACCACTTGGGGAGCCCCTTGGCCTCTCCCCTCTCCCTCCGACCTATATATATGACGAGGAGGGGCGCCTAGCACACATCAGACAATTGCTTAGCTATGTGCGGCGCCCCCCTCCACATTTTACTCCCCCATTCATATTTTCGTAGTGCTTAGGCGAAGCCCTGCAGAGATCACTTCACCATCACCGTCACCACGCCGTGCTGACAAAACTCATCTACTGCCTCGATGTCTTGCTGGATTAAGAAGGCGAGGGACGTCGTCGAGCTCGACGTGTGCAGAACTCATCTACTGCCTCGACGTCTTGCTGGATTAAGAAGGTGAGGGACGTCGTCGAGCTGGACGTGTGCAGAACTCAGAGGTGTCGTACATTCGGTACTCGATCGGTGGATCGTGAATAAAGTTTGATTACATCAACCACATTGTGAAACGCTTCCGCTTACAGTCTACGAGGGTACGTAGACACACTCTCCCCCTCGTTGCTATGCATATCCTAGATAGATCTTGCGTGGGCGTAGGAAATTTTTGAAATTGCATGCTACGTTCCCCAACAGTGGCATCTGAGCCAGGTCTATGCGCAGATGGTATGCACGAGTAGAACATAAAGAGTTGTGGGCGGTGATCGTCATACTGCTTACCACCAGTGTCTTATTTTGATTCAGCTGTATTGTTGGATGAAGCGGTCTGGACCAACCTTACATGACCACGTTCATGAGACCGGTTCCACCGACAGTCATGCAACTAGTTTTGCATAAAGGTGGATGGCGGGTGTCTGTTTCGCCTACTTTAGTTGAATCGAATTTGACTGCAGCCGGTCCTTGTTGAAGGTTAAAACAACAAACTTGATAAATCACCATTGTGGTTTTTGTGTCGTAGGTAAGAACGGTACTTGCTAGCTAGCAGCCCGTAGCAGCCACGTAAAACTTGTAACAACAAAGTAGAGGACGTCTAACTTGTTTTTGCAGGACATGTTGTGATGTGATATGGCCAAGGCATGATGTGATATACGTTATTGTATGAGATGATCATGTTTTATAAAAAGTTATCGGCAACCGGCAGGAGCTTTATGGTTGTCTCTTTATTGTATGAAATGCAAACGCAATGTAATTGCTTTACTTTATCACTATGCGGTAGCGATAGTTGTAGAAGCAATAGTTGGCGAGACGACCATGATGCAACGATGGAGATCAAGGTGTCGGTGACGATGGAGATCATGACGATGCTTTGGAGATGGAGATCAAAATCACAAGATGATGATGGCCATATCATGTCACATATTTTGATTACATGTGTGATGTTTATCTTTTATGCATCTTATTTTGCTTAGTACGGCAGTAACATTATATGATGATCCCTTAACTAAAATTTCAAGGTATAAGTGTTCTCCCTGAGTATGCACCATTGCGACAGTTCCTCATGCTGAGACACCACGTGATGATCGGGTGTGATAGGCTCTACGTTCACATACAACGGGTGCAAGATAGTTTTGCACATGCGGAATACTCGGGTCAAACTTGACGAGCCTAGCATGTACAGACATGGCCTCAAAACACTAGAGACAGAAAGGTCGAACGTGAATCATATAGTAGATATGATCAACATAGAGATGTTCACCATTGATGACTAGCCCATCTCACGTGATGATCGGACATGGGTTAGTTGATTTGGATCACGTTACACTTAGATGACTTGAGGGATGTCAGTTTAAGTGGGAGTTCTTAAGAGATTTGATTAATTGAACTTTAATTTATCATGAACTTAGTCCTGATAGTATTTGCAAATTACGTTGTAGATCAATAGCTCACGTTGTAGCTCCCCTATGTTTTTTGATATGTTCCTAGAGAAAACTAAGTTGAAAGATGATAGTAGCAATGATGCGGACTGGGTTCGTGATCTAAGGATTATCCTCATTGCTGCACAAAAGAAATATGTCGTTGATGCACTGCGAGGTGACAAACCTATTGCAGGAGCAGATGCAGACGTTATGAACGATTGGCAAGCTCAATATGATGCCTACTTGATAGTTTAGTGCACCATGCTTTACAGCTTAGAACCGGGACTTCAAAAATGTTTTGAACACCACGGAGCATATGAGATGTTCCAAGAGCTAAAATTTGTATTTCAGACTCATGCTCACGTCGAGAGGTATGAG